ATCCACATGTGGCCCAAATCTATAATAACGTCTCGTGCCCCAATATTGATTATCCTCTTGTGTTCCTTATCTGCGTGGTACGTTGCGATTGCTCGCGCGGCTAAATTGGTGCGTTGCGGCATGTTATGATGCACCGTGAACTGCAATCGTAGCATTGGTCACGGAATTGAACCCGCGCGCTTTACACCATAGAGAGTGTCGCTCAGTTCGGCTGGACATGCATCCCCATGCATCATGATCATGGCGTGTACGCATTTGGTATCGGAACATTCCACCCGCGTTTCTTTAGTCAATTGCTGGTGTTCCACGTTCCGTGTCCGCTTCTCTGTGACGGCCTCTCTCGGCTTTGGCGTCTTAGGGTGTGCACACTTTAATTGCGCTGTGCTACAGAGCACAAGCCCTGGCATGACCTCCATTCTGGCACCTTTTACTGTAGTAGATGGCAGAGATGTAGGTGCTGTCACAGTGAGCGAGCGCGTGGGATCTGCCAAAACGCTCTCTTCGCTCGGGGTTGGATGGGGCACTTCGTCTGACAGCGAGGGCTTCAGATGTGATGAGGAGGGTGCCGGCGCGGCCCTCAGGCGTGGGCAATGCTAGTCTTTCTGGTGTGCGTTTGGGAGTTCCCTGCAGGCCAGCCGTTGCATTGTCGGAGTCCGATGGCGAGCTCGGATAAAAGTGCATAGGAATGAGGTGAGGCCTCCATACCCAGACCCCCGACGTCGTGATTTTTCACGACGTCAGCCCCAGAGGTCTGGACCCCTTCCCCGGGACTGATTTTTCATCCTGAGTCGTTTTTGACGGTCCCGCGGCCGGGTAAGGGCCCCCGGAGGCCGAAGCTAGCGAAACATTCCCCGCCGTGGTTTCTGTCGCAGCGCAACGGGGTTTGGGCAGAGAGAGGGCAAGGACTCCTCAGAGTTGCAGTCGACCTCCGATGGACGGTGGGGCAGGAGGCTCCTGGAGTGGCACCCCTGGCACCACGTGCACGCCAAGCGACGCCCTGGACGGGAGCGAAAGCGCTGGCAAGACTCCTGGGTGCACCAGTGAGCGGTGCGCGCGGCCCGGCGTAATGCTGGGGCGGACTCGTCTGCCCTACGGGCCCTCTCTCTCTCTCTCTCTCTGGTGTCGCCACCCCCAGCAGCTCGCCTGCACTTCTGGAGCGCGCCCCCCCCCCCGATCCGGGCAGGCGCTCCGAATGCGACGGCGCGCTTCCCGAAGGGCCTCGCCTGCCAGGGATCGATCAGTGGAGACCTCCTTTTGCCGCCAACCTCGGGGGTTCGTAGAGGGAGGGTGATCCCAAGGAGGAGGAGGAGGAGGAGGAGGAGGAGGAGCAGGAGGAGGTGGGGCTTGGGAGCGGCCCAGCTGGATGCTCCTGTCTGACGCGGCTCCTCCTTTCAGGGGCCGTTCGGAGCGATGTTCCTTCCAACCTGCCTCTGCCCCAAGCCCACCCCTGCTCCCCCCGACAGAAGGCGGCAGAAGGTGGCAGAAGTACAAATTCTAGGCCTCCCAAGTGGGGTCGGAGTGGATGGGGTCGGAGGATCTCGCGCCGCATCGACGATGCGGCTCGATGTGGAGCCCGATTTGCTTCACGTCGGCGTCGCGGATGTATCGCCCACGTCGACGATGCATCGCTGGTGCATCGCCGATACATTTCCGATGCATCGCCGACGTATCGGCGATGCGGCGCGATCCTCCAACCGCATCTGCTCCGACCCCGCCTATAGGAGGCGTCTACAAGAGGCGGCAGAAGGTGGCAGAAGTACAACGGGGGACGGCCCCAACGGCGGACAGCAGGCGGAAGCCGGTGCAAGCAGAATGCCGATTTCCACGATGTGCCATTTTGGGGACTCGGCGTTTCGGGACCCGGCCCCTCAGGGGTTCACGGATGGCTGTGCTCACAGTCGGGCAGATTTGTTTGTTCAAGAGGTTTACGCGATTCCGCCGGCCCCCAGAAGAGGCGGGGAGTACACGGTTGAGGGGGCTTCTGGGGCAATGTTTGGGGGCTCTTGTGGGCATATTGGGAGCTGTTTGGGGGCCTGGCGGAGCCTCTTGGAGGCAGCTTTGAAGCGTCTTGGGGCCCGTTTGGGGGCCTCTTTTGGGCCTCTTGGGGCTTATCGGGAGCATCTTTTGGGCCGCCTGGGGGCTTCTTGGAGCTTTCGGGGGCCTCTAGGGGGGGAAAGATAGGATGCGATGGTCGGTTCCCCTCTTTGCGTCGTCTTGGAACCTTCCTGGGCCGTCCTGGGGCCCTCGTAGGGGCCTCTTCTTGGGCAGTTTGGAGACGGTCTACGGGGCCTCTCTGGGCCATCCTGGAGCGTCGGAAGCTCGAGAGAAGACGAGAACCCCGTAAACAATGGAAATCCCAAGGGGAACCCTTGAGTTTCGCCTCTCGGGGCCCTCTCGGTAAGGCTCTTGGGGCGTCTCGAAGGCGTCTTGGGGCGTCTTGGGGCCCTCGTAGGCGTCTTGGGCCAATCGTTCCTCGATTCGGGACCGCCTTGGAGCGTCTTTGAGGTCACGGAAGGAAGAGTTGGAAGCTCCAGAGTCTCCGGCGGTG